AGGCGATATGTATAAGATATCGAAGCCAATTGCGATACGTGGAAATGTCACAGTGCATTTCCGAACGATAATACTACTGGCACCCCATGTCTGAGCTGAAGTAGATCAGATTATTTGACTAATGATTTGGGCGACATGTCCTCAAGCCAAACGTTGGTCTGCGCCCACGTTCCAGTTTTGGAACCCCGACGCATTGAACACGTTCACTTCCCGTTTTGAAAGACAAACGAATTGCAGACGTTCACGTTTCCGCTCCAAATTCCCCAGCGTAGTGGGCACGTTTGCATTTCCATTTTATAGTGTAGGCTCACGATGGGGACTCCCAGTCATATTCTATTTCGATATGCAATACGTATGTCGAAAAGTTGAACAAGCACATTGCAAGACATGCATAATTTTGACACTTCCCCGGGGCACTGGAAGTTACAAAATGTCCCTCACTCCCCTAACGACTCAGTATCATCCGTTTTGTGACCGCGGACAGTCACACAGCGACGCTGGACCAGGGCCCGCTGCGCAATTGTCAGAAGGCCGCCGCGCTCCTTGCCGGAGAGACTAATGCACAGGTACGCGCTTTCGATCACACCACTTGCACCCTTTTTACGGCACGACGCCCTGCTAAGCCGAATTTAAGCTTTACCACTGTTTGCACACGGACTGAGCCTTTGGAGAACCCGCCATGTCGGCCAATGGCAGCTGTCAGGGGGCTGACGCAGAGCTGCCACCAGCTGGCGCCGGCGTACCTGAACGCTCGCCGCGATCTGCGACCTGGTCGTGTGTATCCTTCCCGTCTCCATCAACTGATTAACGAGGTCGTCTCGCGCGTGCAGCAGCTGCATCCTGTGCAGAGCGTTGGAGATGCCGGCGTCTCTCAACACTTCATCGGTCAGTTTGGCAAACACGGCGCCGCTGGTGCCCTGCAAAAGCGATTCAGCGTAAGGGGGGCCTTTCCTGTGGGCGTAAAGTGTGCTTCTTATGCAAATCCCGTTTCTGTCCCTGGGTTGGACACTGCAGGGGTGCAGGACTTCCTTGTGACCCCTTGTGAGCACACCCTTGTGAAAAACACTACCTGGAGTTACCACATAAGTTTGAGTTGCATGATCAGTTTGAGTTTCTTATTTCAATTGGCGTTTCGCCTTCCTCACCAATATCGAATGTTTCAAATACTTGCTGAGGACACTGATTGTTCAGTATGTTGGATGCAATCGGCAGCCTCAATCGTCCTTATCGCCATAAATGTGATTGGGCACAAGTTGCACCAATTGCACGTAAACCGAAACCAACATTGAAAAGCAGAGTCTTGTCGAATGGCCACCGTTCGCTTTGTGCGAAGCAATGCCAGAATCTCGAAATCACCTTCAGCTCATTTTCTGCGTAGATGTAGAGGGACGGGTGGCCTCTGAGCCATGTGCGCACTTGGTGCGGGGTCCACATAGGCAGGGGGCGCTCGATGGGGCTTTCGTGCGAGCTGTGTCCTGGAACGCAGCGCTAGGAATTTGAGGCATGTCAAGCGCTGGATAGGGGGAGAGCCAGGTCCCAAGCAGCTCAGCGCGAGGGCTTTTGATTCCTTTCAAATTCCACCCTCTCGCAATTCGGCCTACTCTGCCGTTAGCGTGGAACATACATTTGTATCACATTTTTTGCAGGCGATCTTCCACCTGAAATGGCAGAAAATGGTGCATAGGTAATGTGCCTTGTACACTTTCACTGCGTCAAAATGATGCTAACACTGCAAATGCAGCCGTGCCGTCTGGCCGATGTTCCATGGACGCTTTGAGCCCAAGCCGGAAACTCACTAGAGACGGCCGGTTTCGAGCAGACACACCCCATCGCCGTCCAGTCCCGTCAGTGCATGAGCGCGTCTGCTAAGGCACACAACGCGTTTGTTTTCATTCCAGAACATAGGTAAAGCGCCTGGCTCATAGCACCCTGCTGAAAGCGGCGCAGCTGAACATAGGCCAGATATTTTTCTGCCTTATGTAATGGAAGGTTAGGGTCCATGCTGGACCGATTTTGTGGTGCATAGCGTCAGATCGATGTAACGGAGAACGCCCACCCCACTGGGTTAGTCACCCCACTATTGGCGGTAATACTTGTGCCGATGTCTGCACATTGAGCAGCATTACTTAATAGCGTGTTGCACTGTTCCAGGTCAAGAAATGGCAGCGTCAGCTCGTTGTGGCGAAGTCAAGAAAGATTCAAAGAAGGCAAACAATCGGCGGTGCAGGCACACGTAGGGCTGAGAACTGGGATATTTGAAGGCGTGAAAGGCGACGGAAGCAGTCCATCGAAGATACCGCTGGGCCTTCTATGAGCACATAGCGCTTGAAGGAAGTTTTCGATCAAGTCAAGTCTTGTTTGCAGCTGATCAGCGGTTTGGGCTTCTTTTAAAGAAGAAATGCTTACGTGATTGCCACAAATTCTACATGAGTTAATAGCTTACGATGTCGATTTTGTGGCAATCACGTACGTGCTCAGCGTCACAGCCCCGCCCGCCCCCCCCATCCCCCCTCCCCCCCACCCCCCCACCCACCCACACACCGCCGTTTGATACTAGGTGTAGTGAAATCGGCATCGTGTGGTCCCTTTTGTGTATTAATGAAATAACCGCTTTCCACCTTGATTTTCTGGGACTGTTATGTTTACGTTCTAAAGCGACTCTTCAGTTTTCGAAACTCTCTTTGACATTGCAGGACGTATGCATTCGAGGAGTGACACAGAATTCCGTGTCACTGAGTAGTCATCCCACAGAGCCTCGCCAGGGATATTTGTGCAAAACACGTTAGCATGCCGTCCTTGACTTTGCCGACTCTCTCTGGGCTAGAGAGAATCTGTAGCTTTGCGGGATCTGTACTCATTTCTGATCCACTTCGAGGCCTTGCTGTGTGCTGAATCGCGCCGCACACGGCCAACTATACCCTGCAGCACATCGCGTGCAGGCTCGATATGACGCGGGCCAAGTTTTGCCCCGAGATGAAACCACGTAAACCAATCGATGTGCGTCAATCTTCCCATCCCAGGGCATCGCCAAGGCGGGAGCGGGAAATCGCAATGGCACCGCTTTCCAAGTGCCGGTGGATGGGCAACAAGACAACAATGTACCGTGTCCAAAATATCTGGGATCGGGTGCGCCCTGCCATGCGGAAATGTTCCCTTGTCTCGTTCCGAATACCATCGCCATAGCCAAACACTTCCCACGGCATCAGCAACAACACGAGGCATCACCGAAACCACAAGTCTCGATCGGACCGACGCCAGCGGCGCTTTGACCTTCCCCCCGCGCCCCCACACGCGGGACAAGGCAGCGGCGCGAGGTACGAGCCGCCGAAGACACCGGAGGCGGGCCGGCACAAATGACTCCCGCACATCCCAGCGGCGCGATCAATCGCTCCAATATTGAAGCCATCCAGCGCCGCTGGCCAGCTTCAGCTAGGCGGGCGGCAGCGCGGGCCGTGGGTCACTGACCGCCAATTCCGGCCTGCCGTTCTCCGCATCCAGACAGACATCCGGGCCGGCGATCGGCGGCAATGCCAAAGCCCCATTCGGGAGATGCGGACGGAGGCCGCGATCCCCGCAGGGCGCGTGGATCGGGGGCCCGGCGGCGGCGTGCCTTCACGACCACGGAAGGGGATCGGCATCGATGCCGACAGCCGGGCGCACTCGAAGGGCCTCGCTGTTTATGCATGGAGTGCAGCGCACAGATGCTCTGACGAAAAAGTAACAGAAAACGACAAATCCGGCCGCACCTCTGGGCTGCCTCCAGGTGGGGGGCCGCCGCGCGTGCCGGGGCGTGGGCGCTGGCTTGCTGCGGCGGCGGCGTTGAAAAGGGTCAACGGTCAGAAGAAAAGTCAACGGAGTGGGGGTTCGGGCGGGGAGGCAAAGACAAGGGAAGCGTGGCCGCTGGTCGTTTTGAGAGCTGCAATACAGGGGGACCTAAGGTGACGAATGGGAGTTATTTTTCACATGCAGGGGTCTGTCAGGTGGCAGTCGTGGGAGCGGGGGTTGGCCGGCGCCTTCGTCATCATCATCATTTGTTACACAACAAGGCAATGCCTTCAATGAAGTCGCAGCCAGGGTTCCATAAGCTGGACTCGAGTTCCTACGTTCTTGTCCCACGGATGTGTCTCATTATTTGGGCGGAAATTCCGAAGCACATTTATCAGAACGTGGCGGACCACTGTCCCACCGCGCAATTTCAGGTTCTCATGATTCTAAGCCCCTTGTATTGCAGTTTCACTCACTTAAAGCGAGTGAAAGCGACAAGGTTAGGGACGCCAATCTCACGTACATATGTTTTGTGTTTTTTTCTGTCGTTCCCTCCTGTGGCCGAAATCATCATCATTATCATCATCGTTTTCTGCACAACAAGGCAACGAGGTAGCCGCCAGCTTCCTATTCTGCCCGAGCAAAGCAGAGTCTGTGATCAGCTTCAGTGGCCGAAGTCAACAAACTGCGGAAGCGCACAAGCGCGTCCTCTGGGGACAGGCACCCAACGCCGCCAACCCAGCGATGTTGCCAGCGATGCACGCCTTGTCACCCTACAAGATGCAGTCAACAGCCTGCCGCACTCGCGCGGTCCAAATGCCAGCCCAAAACCCCAACTCCCGCAAAACGGCCCCAGTACTGCGGCGCCAAGGCGGCCTGTGAGGCGGCCAGCCCGGTGCCCTGCCAGGCCCCGCACCCTGCAGTCACCCCCACATGCCCAAAGCGCGCCCCAGGCCGCGCCCCTCACTCCCCAGTACTGCGCCCCCCAGCCTCCCCTCCCACAAAGGCATCCCACCCTCTCCGCCGGGGCGCGCGTGCCACGGGCGCGCCCACCGCCGCTGCCGCCCCTCCCCTGCCCCCGGCAACCTCTACGCCCCCCCTGGCCTTCCCCGATCCCCACCTACCCTCCCCCCCATCCTTCCCTTGCTCGGCCCGTCGACAGAATCCGCGCTTGGGAAAGGCATTTGCTGCCTCGATCGCGGAGCCCGGCCGCCCCGGGGGCCTCCCGCGGCGCCATGCCTCCGCGGCTGGACCCCGATCGCGTGAGGGACGCCGCGTCTCGCTTTCCGCCGGACGCTGACGGCGACCCCCCGCCCTACGGCACCGCCGGCTTCCGCGCCCAAGCGCCGATCCTCCCCCCGGTGCTCCTACGCTGCGGCCTGCTGGCGGCGATCAAATCCCTGGCGGCCGGAAAGATGTGCGGCGTGATGGTCACGGCGTCGCACAACCCCGAGGAGGACAACGGCGCGAAGCTGATTGGCCCCGTGGGGGAGATGATGAGCCCGGAGTGGGAGGATTACGCCAACAGGCTCGTTGCGGCGGGATCCGACGACCAGTTGGCAGCGGAGGCGGCAGCGATCTGGCGGCAGGAGGGGATCGACTCGATCGACGAGGGGCGGGGAGGGCCTGTGGGCGGGGTGGTAGTGGGATGCGACAACCGGCCCAGCGCGGGGCTGCTGGTGGAGGCTGCGCTGGCTGGCGTGGCGTGCACGGGCGTGCCGGTGGTGCGCGCTGGGCTGCAGACCACGCCGCAGCTGCACTTCCGGGTGCGCGCGCGGAACCTGGGCCAGCCCTGGGGCGAGGCGGACTACTACGACCGGCTGGCGATGGGACTGGCGAAGGCGAGCAGGGACCTGGTCGGGGATGCGGTGCCCGGGAGGTGGGCGGCAGTTGGGACGGACGGGCTGCTGCTGGACTGCGCCAACGGCGTGGGCGCGGCCAAGGCGGAGGCGCTGATCGCGCGGCTGAGGGAGGCGGGGTGTGGCTGGCGGTTTGACGTCAGGAACGTGGGCCCGCGGGGCCTCAACGACCGGGTGGGCGCGGACCACGTGGAGAAGCAGAGGGCGCTGCCGCTGGGATTCGAGACGGTGGCGAAGGGGGCCAGGTGGGCGCGGGCGGCGGGGTCGGGGATGCGCCGAGCCGCAGGGGTTGGCTTGTGCTCCGAGCGCGAATGTCAGGGAAACGGATTGTGGGGCGTTGTGTTTTTGTGTTGGGAGGGAACGGTCCCCACTGATGACCCTGTCTGGGGCCAGGGAAATTCGGGAGGGGCGCATGGAAAGGGCATCGGTCTCGGGCTGCTGTGAATGGGGCGGCATGAATGAACAGAGGTCAGATGTCGTTTGCCAGGCGGGTGGCAAGAAAGGGGGTGTGCCAGGTTCACAGCCCCGGGCGTGCGCAACGCACGGGGGCGCACTGCAGACGCTTCTGACAAGGGGAGTCCATGCCTGTTTTTGAATTTTGTGTTGTGATATCGATCCATGTTGGGATTTACTACCCTGCCCGCTGCTCTTATTGGCAACCGACATGTTGGCAGTATTGTAGCTTGGTCAGCTATTGCACCAATGCAGGAAAGGGACCAACGGGTGTTAGCTTGGCATAGTGACAACCCCTGCCTTGTTGTTTAAAACAGCCATACAGACAAGCCCACAGCTCGCATTGCAGGAAAGAAAGGTGTATTTCCTGCACTTTGCAGGTTGGCACCCTCAGTTCTAGGTGAACAAGCCATTTGAACAAAATGTGCATGGGCACTGCAAGGTCTACTGCAGCTCACCACCAAAATGGTGATCCAACAACTGCTGCAATAGGACTTGCTGTCTGGTCCAGCAGGATTCTTGCATTCCTGAATGTGCATGTCCGACAACTGGTCAAGCATTTGCCGATTGACAGCCATATGCACTTCAGCAGGACGTTTGCACTTTCTGCGCTGCATCTGAACTGTAGTAACACATTAACCGATCCGCTTGCTCTCTTGTGCAGGTGTTGTAGCATCGATGGGGATGCAGACCGGCTTGTGTACTTTGCGCCAGATGGCAAACGTGGCTTGACGCTGTTTGATGGCAACAAGATAGCGGCTCTGCTTGCACTTTATATCAAGGATGCCCTAAAGGGCATGCCAGGGATTGCAGAAACATTTAAGGTGTGTTGGGCATCTGTAGGAGGGAGAAAAGGGAGAGGCATGTAGTTCAACTTGTTTGCACTTGTCCAAGGCAACCATTTCTGGGCTTACAATCCATGCTTCAACTGTTGAGATGGAACTTCCATACTTGAGGGGCATAAGATTGTTGTGACGATCACCATTCCCAGAAGCACAGTGACCTTGATATTTGGCCTCCGGGCTTGCCACATGGCACTTGGCGCAAGTCATGACAAGCTGGTTGGAAACATCACAAGGGCTTTGCAAGACATTCCACGATTGACGCTGATGCTCTTTGAGCTTGTAGTTCTTCTTTATGAAACTGAACCAACTACATGATTACCTGAAGCTGCAGTGGCAAGCTTCACTCAACCAGACAGGAAACTTTTGTTCTTAAGTAGCTGACAGTGGTGCTTGTTGGACAAGTGGGACCCTGAAATTTTGGCTACATGCTACCAGGTAGGAGTGGTGCAGACTGCGTATGCCAACGGTGCCTCCACAAATTACCTCAAGACTGAGTTGGGCCTCCAGCCTGTCATGACATCCACAGGAGTGAAGCACCTCCATCGAGAGGCGGCCAGCTTTGATGTGGGAGTTTACTTTGAGGCAAATGGCCATGGGACTGTCCTCTTCAGCAACGATTTGATTGCAAAGCTGAGAAAGGTATTGCTGTTGCCAGACATCAACTTGCAGGGACCAACACACCAAAACATAGAAACAACCACAGTATTCCGCAACAGATTTTGCCTTGTGGTCATTAGAAGCTGTTGCACAGGTGGCCATGGTTGGCATCATCCAGTGCTTCATGCAAATCAAAATTCAGAATGTAATGGCCATAGCCAGCACAGCAGTCATACCTGGAGCAGGTGCTGGGAACCTGGTAAGCTTGTCACCATGAGAATTTCATGTCAGGTACCTCTTCTTTTGCTTGGCGGTCAATTCCACACAGACTAATGTGCCCCAGGGGATGTATCTAAGCATGCAAGCTGCTGATTGATATGTTGATTGTCTGAATCGCAAGCATCCCTCCACATTTACTGTTGATGCTGAATGCATGTTGCTGGGTGACTGGTTGCTGCAAGCAAATTACAGTTGAACAGTTTGGACATTATGCCATTTGGACCCTGTGCATTGCTAGTACACAAACAACAGGTTGCGAATGTTGAAAAACCACTTTGGTGGTAATGATGGTGAACGAAAGATCCAATAATTGTTTGCTCAAATCAGCAGCTATAGGCATTGTCACAACGTATTGGTGGTAGTTTCTAATATCAAAGACTCCAAGAGCTTCCAAGAACTTCAAAGACTCCTGTTTGGGCACACTAGCAGCCATACCCATGCTTGAAAAGTATCACGGTGTTCTTGCATTGTTGTGGGACTCCCTCAGTAGTGTTTTGGCATATTTTGACGTTGGGATTTTATGAACCCTTGCCAGATAGAATATGAAGACGAGGCTGCTCGAGATCTCTTAGCAATGGCAGAAGTCATGAATCAAGCTGTGGGCGATGCTCTATCAGGCATGCTTATGGTTGAGTGCATCCTCAGGTGGGCGAGGCATATTTGTTTGCATGGCAGGTGGATGTCCAAATTGTGGCTGTGCATTGAGAGTGATTTTAGATTCTCAACCGCTTTGATGTGTTTATGTGCATTCCCCTGCAACACCTAGAGGTAGTGACAGGTATTCAGACAACAGACCACGGGCACTACCTCTCAACATCCACTAAGACAGGGCTCAAAAGAGTAGTTCAGAACACATACTCTTAATCACTGGTCATATTGCTGGACAGGTTAATGGTCGATTTGAGTGATGTTGCTGTTAACAGTGAGCTGCACCAGCAAGTACTTGCACCCTCGAAGCCGGACAGGGCTGTGTGTAAAAGAGGCATCAGCATTCCATAGATGGGCCGCCATGGACAAGGCAGCAGTGGACATCTGGGCGCCATCGACCCATTCAGCTGTCTGTCAGTGTTCCACAGGTGGCCAGTAGACAATGTCTCAAGGAATACAGGTGTTCCTCCAAAGCCCACGATTGAAAGCTGCAGTAATTCAGGCTTTGAGCATTGCCACTTCAGAATGCAATACCTGACAGACAGCTCTCGTAAACTCGCATGCTGCTGCCATGGCAAGCATGTGTCCTGACACGGCCTGTGTCTCCTCGTGAGCCAGCCCATAGGAACCTGACAGTGGACTGGATATTGATTGCATGATATCCAAAACTGAGACATTTGTACAATGGAAAAGGCACTACTCCTCAGCTGGACTCCCAAATTGTTGGCTGTGATGTCAAACTGAGTGCTGTCAACCATTAGAACATGGACTTTTGTTGTTCGATTGCTTGCAGTTAACTATAGCAACAGTGAAACAGCGTAAAAATCGTGACAACAGGAGCTGCTATTGTCATGGCTTGTATGTTCTGGCTTTGGTCGTGTATGACGAATTCTCTAACAAATGATTGCTTCAATTTTGCAGGCGCAAAGTCTGGGGCCTCAAGGAATGGGAAGACATGTACACCGACCTCCCCAGTCGGCAACTGAAGGTCATGGTTGCGGACAGAGCGGTGATCAAGACTACGGATGCGGAGACTCGCTGCATCGCCCCTGACAGCCTCCAACAAGGCATAGACGCTGCCGTTGCCAGGAGGAAGTCTGGCCGCGCATTTGCGCGTCCGTCTGGGACAGAGAACGTTGTGCGAATTTATGCAGAGGCGGCTTCTCAAGGCGAGGCAGACAGCCTGGCGAAGGATGTGGCCAGATTAGTTCACAAGCTGGCAGGGGGCATCGGTCCAGTACCCTGAGGCGGCCAGCGGTTTATGCAGAGAGGCAAGCAGGTGTAGAGTCCACCAAAGCAGAGAAGGAGTTTCTGAGGTTTAGATCGCATTGTTTTGACGGCTAGGGGCAGGTGCTGCGTTGCATCTTTGCCACTTGAATCTCTTCACATTGCACGAATCTCAAGAGAGTCATAGACTGCCGAGCAGCCTGCCAATAACAGATCACCAATTTTTGCTGTTAGACCATGGCGATGGGCCATAAAGCCACTTGGTTGTGTGCACGGTACATCGAAGACGGAGACCTGCTGGATTGGAAACACGAAACCTGTGCAACGAGTTTCGAATGGGGCTGCGGGTGGGTAGGGTAGGGATATGAATGAAGATTGCTCCCGTTGGCACGCGAGAAATGTTTGGGCCTATTCATCAGAACTTGTGCCGAGAAATTGAACAGTGATGAGGAGATCATTGGTACGAGCACCAACCATCACATAACACCAATTGGCAGGTGTGTATCGCCCCATGGATTAGTAAAAACAATAATAAGTATGGTTATGCTTAATGTTATAATTGTAATGCTTATGTTCGATGGCCATTACTTGTTACTGCCAGATATGGCTGGTGAGTCATGGCCACGTATGTACAATTCTAAAGGACGTGCCCAACACAGATCCAAAAAGAGAAGGATCCTATTGACAACCAACAACCCACTACCAATACAGCTACAAAAGCACAGATCAATTGAAAGTGAGAGGGGCTGCTGACTGGGCTAGCAACCACCCCTGCCACAGGTTGTGAAGGTGCAACACCGCTTTCCTGCCCAGCCCGATTTTGCCTCACACGCTCAGATTTCCAAAGGAAACTTAATTGGCCCTTTATGTGGATGATTTCTTGAGCCAAACTGGCCAACTGCAGGGTTACTATTTTTTTTGCGACAGTGAAATTGTTCTTTTTTGCGACATGTTCTTTTTTGCGACAGTGGCGATAATTGATGCGCGAGATGTTGGCATCAGATTTCCCACACCAACCCTGCACGGTCCACGGGGCCTTCTTTCACAATGGCGCTGAAGGCGCGTCTGTTCGGAGAAAAGACCAAAAGGCGAAATGGGAACGTTTGGGGACGACCAGGGTCCCCTCCTTGCGGAAGGGGGCTGCCGCTACCATTCGGCGATCACTTTGGCGCTGAGATTCAGCCGAATCGGCTGAGGTCGCAGCCCCCCGTTTCCTCCCCAGACCTGTTTTTGCCGTGCTAGCCCCCTGAAATGCGGGCACTTGGCCATGTGGGGAGACGGCGCCGCGAACTGGGGCCGGGGAGTGTTGCTTGTGACGCCGGACGGGGAGGCCAAGGCGCTGGTTGCCAACGCCAATGCCGTCCAAGCATCGACCATCAAGGCGCCCACGCCCAGCGCCGTTGATTGGTCACACGACCAGGTTTCACTGCCGGGTAGGGGCACGCCCTGTGAGCCACGACCTGTGGCGGGCTGCCACTGGAGGCATTTCAGCGGTTGGCGCAACCATAGTGCTCATTTGGCGCCGCCCGGCCCTGTGCGTCACCTAGACCCCAAACAAGCCCAGTGTTGACTCGTGAGGTTCGAGGGAGTGGAAAACGATGCCCCGGGCGGCGAACAACAGCGATGGCGGCTGGTAGCGGCCGGTGGCAAGTGACGGGTGGAGGGGGGCGGGGGGCGGGGGGCAGGGGGTGGGGGGCCGGGTAGGCGAGCTGATTCGAAGGCCCGCCGCCTTCCCAAGCTGTGCATTAGTCATATTCACTGGCGCAAAAAAGAGCAATCCACTATCGCAAAAAAGAGTAGTTGGGCACTGTCGCAAAAAAGAATAGTCCCACTGTCGCAAAAAGAAATATTCACCCATCTGCAGTGACTCCCCACGCATTAATGAACACAGAACTAGAGGTGGCCACTCAAAGATGCCATCCGGTCCGTTAAGTCCGGTTCGTTAATTTTTATCAGCTGTCCGTTAAATTTCGTTAAAGAAAAAGGGAGAAAAATTCAGAAAAAACGAAAAAAATCCAAAAAATGGAAAAAAACCCAAAAAATCACAACAACTGCGGCTAGTTGAAAATCTAGTATGCATAGGTTGAAATAAAATACAAACATACTCTCTAATAGCGAAATCCATAAACTATAAGTATGACTAAAACCCAAAAATCCCCAAAAAATCCAAAAATCCGTTAATTTTTGGTTGATTTTTGTCTTTTTTCGTTATTTTCCGTTAATTAACGGAAAATTAATGGAAATTAACCTCTGTCCGCTATTAACGGATCCGGTTGGCCACCTCTACACAGAACACGCCAAATCGATTTATACACTCTTTGATTCAGCCTTGCGATTCCCACTGTCAGGATTGGGCTGAAGGCGACCATATTGACACAAAATAAAGTCAGCAAGGCACCGCCAACTGCTTTCCAGAACTGAACCAGTTGGTTGGTATCCACAAACACATCAAGCCTCTGGTATTGTTCCTAGGAAGGTGGATGCTGCCTAGTGATATCAGCACATCATAGTCATATATTTTTGATGCCTAGTTCCTTACTAATTCTGTGTGCATACTGCCCAACTCAGTTATCAATGACTTTTGTAGACAGTTCTTTCCAGCATTTTTGCAGCTGACGAGCTTGATTCTAAGTCAGTGATTGTCCCTGAGTGTGGTGTAAACTACAGGGGGTAGTTAATGTTTCTCTATATGGGAGCTGGGAAGTGGAGTGTACAGTGATTATGGTATCTCAGGTGAAAGTAGACTCTGTTAGGAGTCCATAGGTTTTTGAACTACCCCAATTGGCTTAGCGGTTGAGGAGATATGGTTAGTTGAATATCTAGTACTTTAGGGCCCTCTCCTGGACCGTATTGGGG